GGGGGGTGGTGGGGATCGATCAAAAAACTTGGGAAAGTGAAAAAAAGCTTTGTTAATTTAAGGCAGTCATAGGTCCTTCCAGGACGAGGGGAGGGGAGGATACGTCACTGAATTTACCAGTACAGGCTAAAGGGGTATATGGTTACACACATTTGAGACTTGCGGCAAAATTCTCGAATACCCTCCCCTCCCTCCCTCTCAATAATAGTCTCGCAGCTGTATATGTGTGATTATGATAATCCGCGTGAGAAAGCTGAACTCGTCGGTTTTCGTAGCTTCACGAGGTATTGATCCCCTGACCTGAGTGACAGCTTGCTCGCTTAACCAGTAGTCCTACCTCACAAGATAGATATTCATACCAGTTATTATAGACCTATCGCAAAGTCAACAGACACTCGACAAGTTTGGCATACCAAAAAACTTTGCGCAATGCGTGACAAGGAATTTTCGATGATCCGTTATGTAAAGGAGGTCACGATCAACCAATCAAAATGCGTGTTTCACTCAACCAAATTAAGGTGTGACATCAACGGTCTTTTCCATCGGAAATGAAATCATGTACAAGGCATTGACGCGCAAATATAAAGACGTATTTTGACTTCTATTAAATATACATAAGAGATTAAAGACATAACATGAAATCACTCTAAAGGGAATGTAAATATAAGCGATATTCATAATAACGATTAGTCACCTAATTTCAAGTACGTGAATATGGGATGTGCGCTAAATTCCGATCAATATACGTTTTTATTCAAGAGATAACGTGAATTAAGGAATATATTTTGAAGGTAGAGATATTTATTTTCCTTCAAAGAGCCAAGAGATCGATTAAGATTCATTATGTACAAACAGAATTCAATATATGTTAGACATTTAATTGATGCCAGAATATTCTTTCCGAGGTCACGCAATAACCTATAACAATCTTCCAGGGTTGGATGGCTTTTCAATCAGTTTAGAGTAATCCCATTGTTAGGTTTCCGCGTAGCCTTAAACATGGTTTGAAAGCACAAGGCTTTGAAGTCGTTGACAAAATGCTATCTTTTCGGTTCCCTTCCATCAAAAGAAAGGTATGTTAACTGTTTTGATCCCAGTAGGGGGAGGGGAGGAGGGGATTATTTGACCATCACGTGACAAACTAAACCAAGTCGTTCAAAATTAAAAATTTGGCGGCCATTTGTGAGTCGCGAAGGTAAACTAAAGATAGCAGCAAAACACAGGCTCTAACAATATGTTTTCCTTCAAGAAGAAGGAGAAGGACAAGACAGAGACCAAGGAGGAGAAGCGTGAGAGGAGAAAACGTGAAAAAGCTGAGAAAGAAATCCGTAAACAGGAGAAGAAAGCTCACGTTAATGCGCAACAACCAGACCCAGCCATTGCAGACATCGTAGCGGGGAATGCTATTGTAGAAGACGAGAAAAAAGGAACTAGGTTTAGCTTTAGAAAGCGAAAATACGACGTCGAACACGAATACGACGATACAAAATCCCCAGATTCTAACGAGACAGTTGAAATTCGTCAAAGCTATCATTCCACTGGTAGTGAAGGTAGTGGTAGTCCTTCCCAAAGGTACGGGTCACCAAGGGGAAGCATAAATAAAGGGGCTTATAATGATCAAGACTACGATGATTATTACCAGAATGGAGTACATAATAATGAATCTAATCGTGGACAAGGAAGTGGAGGACCTGTTCCAGCCTCTAGAAAGCGAAAAACTTCTAGTGTAGAAATTCAACTTAAGGGCGATAGTAGCAACGGGAGTGATAGTGATCGAGATAGAGCTACAGAACGATCTACTGCGTATAAAATGGAGAAAAACGAGGAACGTAAAGCATCGAAGTCTCATGGTTTTCCACCGGGTGGACGGACTATAGCGCTGTCAGGAACTCCAAAAGGAGACAAACAAAATAGCGATTCATCTGCGCCACCAAAACCACCTCGAGTTGTAAAGGCAGATGAAAGTGGAATGGTTGAACTTAGACTAGTAAATGCAGGGAAAGATCGGCCTGCAATTCATATGTCAAACAAACCAAGAGAAGTCGTCACTACATCGACTATTACTAATACTTATTCAGCTCCTTTTGAGGATTTTATGGATGCAAGTATGGAGGAAAAACCAATTCAGGCTGGCAACGTCCAAAGGTTAGAGAGCGGAGTAGCAATCGATGTTACGTCTCCAAGTGAAAAAAGTTTTGATGATCTTGGAGTAGAATTCTCTCTTCCTGAAGTTGTTCCTGCATCCCCTGGAGTACCTAGAGTTATTAAAATACAGCGAAGACTAAGCGGAGATTTTGGGTTTGCGTTACGAAGGGGAACGTCTAGTGGAAGTGATAAAACCGTGCATTTTGTCGAACCAGTCGGTCCTAACACTGCAGCAGGTATATTACCAGGAGATCGTCTGATCGAAGTTAATGGAGTGAACGTGGAGGATGTTGATAGAGAGAAAATTATTGAAATGATTGCGAAGTCAGGGAATGAAGTCGTGATTAAGGTAGTTCCTGTATCGGAGTTATCAGAGCTGAGTGTTCGCAGTGGACTAGATGGATCTACTGTACAACTAGATGAATCCAATCTAAAAGCAGGGACTTTGCAACGAAGTGGAAGCAAAAGAATGAAGAAAAAGGTAAGATTGTTTATCAGACTAAAGTACACTCATACTTTAAATAGCTGAAAATCACTGAAGGTTTATTGGCAACCAGCAAGAAAATAATTTTCCTAAGATGTGAACTGAGTTAATTTCATTTAAAGTGTGTACATTTTCATAAATAGAAAATAACATATTCCCAGAAAAATATCTCTTTTATAGAGCTCCAATTTTCAATAGTCTAAGCATGCAATCCCCTATTTAGCTGCAGACCGGTTTCTAAAGCAATTGTTTAATCAGTTGCGTTAAAGATTGCATGTAATGCTTTGATATGATGGCTGGTGTGCTTTGTCAATCTATTATCAATTCTATAGATTCTTCAGTACCTGAACAATGATTCTAATATGCTTGGTTGACTGTGAAATATGCTAAATAGTTCGATTATTACTCAGTAACTGCGAGATCATCAATAATATTTTTATTAAAAATTGATTTTTCGCATGTAAACATAACACTGTCACCAACTTTTGCTGTTGTGCCAAGACAAAAAATTTAACAAAAGCAATTTATCATATTTTCCAGATGAATACTACCAGCTAAGATAAAGTTCTTGCACAATTATCTCATCATTTTAACCAAGAGATGTAATCCAGTGTTGAATGATTCTTATTTTTATCCAAAATATTCCCTACAATAGTGTTTGTTTTTGGAACATTGTGTTTTTTCTCTCACAGCGCATCCCTAAATTCCTTCGATTCATGTTATTATTATAAACAATTGTTACATGTTCTACATTAAATACAGCAGTGTTTACTGTATTTTAGGGTTGGCAGAATAATATTTTCTTATTTTGATAAGGGAGATGTCAATTTTGATCCAAAATAATCTCCAAACAGAGCTCATGACCTGGAATAATTTCATGGATTTGTTCTTGGCATAACTTGTTCTTTATCACTGTTACTCTTGGGCGTCCATTGATGACAATGTTGTATAATACCTTGCATACATTGTCATTCTCAACTATTTAGAATATACCATGCTTTGGATACTACAGTTGAATATAGAGAAAAACATTATTAGAGATGTGTATTTTTGACCCTCAAGTTGGCATGCTAGTATAGTTTGACATGTTGCATTGTGTACATCGGCATAATGTACCCCTTGTACTGGCCTCAGTCATGACATGCTGTGTTCATAACTCAAAGCATTCCAATCTACCACCCTCAATAATCCTTCACAATATATTCTGTGCCAAAAGTCCATTGAGCCAAGTCAAACCCAGCTTATGTATCATATATTTATATATCTCTATAATGTATGCTAATTTGTTGGCTATCTGACAGCTATTAATAAATTCCCTTTGATGTTTTCCAATTATTTCAAGCTTAGTGTGATAAGAAGTAATTGATAAGGAATAGTAAGCTGACGCAATATGAGTAGGCTTCATTGTGTTTCTCCCCTATCTACAGTCATCTCTCATCTCTCCACTCTGGTATCAGACCTCTTTATCTGACATGTTTGTATTCAAATGTAAACAGAGGAGTAAAAAAGTTGACCTAATTAGGCTGGAGGTTAATTCATTTACATAACTTTAATATCGCTATTGATCTCTGCCAAAATGCAATGTTTTGTTTATGAATGTATAACAAAATTATAATTATCTTAAAGCCCTAAAAAAATATTGAAAGAATTTTGTATGAATAGTGCCTCTTATATAGCAAGTCTAATATGCATTGCATTGAATTTTGCAAAGGGACTCATTTTTAGCAGCTTTTCAACCATCTAGATACATTTGCATGTATTTACTAAACATTAAAATGTAGTGCCCTTTATTTGTAAAAAATGAAGCTTTATATGATTATATTCTTAGTTATAGTGCTTTGTATTTTATTCTCAAGTAAGTGTTTCCAATTATCCAAGGTTTCAGGCTAACTACCCATCCCCAGACATAGTAAAATCTATAAGATGTCAGAGAAACAGCTGAAAATTTGAAAATATATTCTTATCTTTAGAAATATTCTACCTATATAATTTTCACCTGTACATGTATTAGCTTTTTATACAGTATGTTCTAGGTGTACAATGTATTACACTACGCAAGTGGTGAGGTGTGTCGGCATTGGTAGCACATGTCTTGCATTCCTGACAAGTTAGCCAACAGCTGTCTAAGATCAGCATTTCTTACACAAATATTCTATTTTCTGTAGTAGACTAATTTAATAATGTTTCCAGTAAAGCTTTTATTATTCTTATACATATTGCATTCCAGAGGTAATTAGAAAAGTTGTTGAAATTTAAGAATATGTTAGATACATGTAACTGAAAAAAGAAATCAAGAATGTAATGAGAATAAAATACTACCTAGAGGAAGTGGAAAATGAGATAAATAGAGGATGATTTTATAGTATAAATTATTTCTGTCAGTATATTGAAGAAAAATATTATTTTTTAATGTCACTGGTGTTTATATTATTTGGTTCTTTAATCGCTTATGCCCATCCTACTGTGTTAACTCTTACTAATTTTGATAAGCTTGTCTAGCTTTTTCATTAAGTTTCACCTTAATGGAAAAAAAAAAAAAAAAAGGCATAATAATATTGAATACTGGATTTTTGTGTCTCTGAATTTCTAGTAACCATTTTTCCATGATACTCCCCGGAAAAAAACCCTCTTGTGATGAATTGTGTTGGAACAGGTTTGTTACGAGGTCAAGTACCTTTGAGCATCTGTATTGGCTTTTTTGAAACCCTTTCAGATTTTTCTCCAACACAAACCAGATTGCCGAAAGAAAATTATTTTAAAATTGAAGGAAAAAACTAAAATAAAATTTACTGGAGATATTTTTGTAAGTATTACAACTTCCGTGACATAAGGAAAATGAAATTGAGAGTCCGAAAGTGGAAAGTGTGTTTTAAGTATCCAGCTTTTCGAGAGTAAAACCTATGAATGTCTATGTCAATGATATAAGATCTTGTGGTTGTCTATTGAGATGCAGTACTTAGGGGTTCAGTACTGTCTGTATTTTATTCAAATGACCAGCTCCATATTGAACAGGTCTGTTCTTTAATGGAACGTTGCATGGTTGCTACATTGGCCGACATTGTCTAAAACCCTAAAAAGGATCCATCTTTTATTTCATCAATGTTGGTGCTATTAATATTTATTCATCTTTGATAATTATTTTTGCTGGAATTTTTATAATTAGTTGATTATTCACAATGTGTACAATTTGAAAAAAAAAAGATTTATAAGTAGAAGAAAATTGATCCTGGCTTTATTTAGAGACATTGGATAAGCACTAAGTATGGAAATATAACTAGATCTAAAGTATTGAGATTATTTTCACTTCTGAAATTATGATTATACTATCTAATTAAATTTCAAAACAATTTTTGTTGTTGTAAACGTTATTTGTTTTTTTATTTAAGAATAAAGATAAAAAAGAACAAAAGTAATAGTTCATTAAGGATTTTTTTTTAGTCAACGAACGCATAATTTACAGATATAATTATTGATTAAAGAAGTACTTTAAAATTAGCCAGAAATGTTTCACATTTCTACAATTCAGACTATTCTTGAGTATCATTTCTTTCTTTACTGGTAAAGTTATACAAAACAAAAATACATTGATTGCACTAAAAATAATTTTTTTCGGATTTTGAAATTAGAAAACTAATATTCTATTGAAAATAGGTAGTGCTCTATTAGTTTTATTTGGTTGTTGTGGTGTGTGACATGACTAAAGCTAAGAGTGACAAAGGTTAAGTAATTCAAGAAGTCCAAGTTGAAGAACACCTGATGTTTATAACTGTCTTCTACACTACACGTGAAGTATCTGTAGATGTTTCTTCCAAATCTCTGTTCTGTTGTGAATTCAAAATATTAATCCAAAAACCATGAAAAAAGACCATTTCAATAGGCAAGGATAAACTTCAACAAAGGTTAATGCAAGTATTGTTGAAGAAGAGAAAAGAAGCTTAAACGTCTGTTTGAATTTTGTTTAGTCATTTAGTCAATCATGTAGTCAACATAAATTGGTGAACATGAAGCCTGCCTAACATTTCTTCCCCTTCATGGTCATTCTGGAGTAGCATATACTCTTCTGATTAGCTCAGCATGTTGTTACAAATTGTCAAGGTACTGTATATTAATATATCATAAAGTTTCTAGGTTGTATTGTATTTTATAACTAGTGCACTTTAATGACAGTCTGTTGTAGGGTCCTGTTTGCACTCTGTAACAATACTAACTACCACCTAATGTCTTAGTAACTCCTAGTATTTTACAATCTTTATTCCTCTGTACTCAACTCTGTGTCTAGACTTCATTCTTAAGACTTCAATATACCATACTCTTAAAACAATTTTCCTAGGAGGTCCATATTTATGTGTGTAAAAATAATTTTCACACATTTTAGTGGTACATTTTTCTTTCTAATTTTCAAGAATATTTAATATATTAGTGTTTAGATTTGATTTGGTGTGTTTATAATCTTGAGCTAGAAGTCATTATATTGAGTATATGTAAGTTATTTATTCCTTGGTATGTTGGCCTACTTTAATGTTTATTCAGATTGCTGTTTGGAATTCAAATAAATACTCTTATGAAGCTCTGTGTTACATTCTACAAAGATTCCCCAGATATAATCTTGTACAAAATTGTTATGTGTCATGTGTGTGTCTAGAAAAGAAGAGACAGAAAGAAAAACATTATGTAATCACTAATAATAATAATAATGTTATTTCAGTTTTGTTTAATAAGACATTTGAGATTTAATGACTTTAGACGGAGGCCTAGGATGACTAATGTTTAGTTTAGTATACTGTAACTATCTAGAACATTTCTAAAACCAAGTTAACAGTTTAGAAGGCTGGCATCTCTGTTTATCAAATGAATAAATTTGCACATTATTTTAGCAGTAAGAAATAATTAATCCAATAAAACTATCCATCTATTATCCTTTTTGTCCTTTGTTAGGATATTGTGCAGTTGATAAGATATTTTTAACTTCCAGAAGATTTGATTCAATATTTGTAGCAAATGGGTAAAGTTGTTTGGCATGTGGGTGTATGGAGGAGACTTGTGATATATGATATTATAAACCATATGGAGAGCTTATTAGACCACAGGAAGCCTACTCAAAGCTCATGGCATCCAAGATTTCTAATTGTTTAGTAAAAAGCAAAGCATTTGAATAGCGGCTTGAAATCTATTTGCTATTTTCTATTTTCTGCCATCTAACATAGCTGCTGGTATGTGACTCTAAGTATTGATATGATAATCATTTATTTTGTAGCCCAAATCAGCAGAAGAGGCTGCTTCCCAGAAAGCTTGGCAGGATGCTGAGAAAGTATGGGTGGTGCATAAGGCAGGGTTCTCTGGTGGTAGGGTGCAGAGGATTAAGCCTGCCGCAGGTGAAGAGGAAGAAGACACTCCCATGTGTAAGGTAAAGCTGGACCATGGGGGAGAAGTAATTACAATTGAAGAAGAAAGCATTGAAAAGGTAAAAAAAGTAGTGTTCTGCTTGTTAGTTTATGCATTCACATTATCATCCATTCATTTACTACTTTATTCCTTGTTTCATTTACATGCTTGACTTGACCTTTTATTATTATCCCTCCCTCCATCCATCCATCCACCCA